GCCCCGAAGTTCGCCAATTCACCGTCAATTATATTGACGATTTGCTGATTGTTTCCGATTCATTTGATCAACACTTGCTTCATCTTGACATGGTTTTAACCCGCCTGCGTGACGCCAAATTGACCATCAACCTTGAGAAGTCTTCCTTTTTGCAAGAAGAAGTTCGCTTTCTGGGTCACATTCTTTCATCGAATGGCATTGCCACCGATCCCGACAAGATCAAGGCCATCCAAGAGTTTCCAGCCCCAAAATCACAAAAACATCTCCGAGCTTTTTTGGGTGTGTGTGGTTACTATCGGCGGTTTAGCGATCGCTACAGTGACTGCATCGCCCCACTCACTCGCTTGCTTCGAAAGGGCGTTCGTTGGATTTGGTCCACCGTTGAACAAGAAGCTTTCGATCGAACCAAACAACTTTTCCTCGACACTGTCATGCTGAAGTTTCCCGACTTCGAGAAAACCTTCTATCTTCAAACTGATGGTTCCGGTGTAGCTCTGGGTGTTGAGTTATACCAACTCCTGGAGGATGGTGAACACGGTGTCATCGGCTTCGCAAGCAGGGTGTTGCGAGGTCCGGAATTGTTGTACACCGTCACCGAAAAGGAGCTTCTGGCGATCATCTTCGGATTGCAGAAGTATCGAACTATTCTTCTTGGGCATAGGTTAGTCATCCGCACTGATCATTATGCCCTCAAATTTCTGAAGCAGTGTAGGCTGTTGAACGACCGCCTCACTCGCTGGTCATTGCTTCTTAACGAGTTCGACTATGAAGTTGAGCACATTCCAGGAAAACAAAATGTTGTCGCCGATGCACTTTCGAGGTACCCCTACGAAAGTAGTGGCATCCCTGTTCGCCCCCACAACTCTCCGGTTGTCGCCACATTTTCTGTGAACGAAACCGAAATCATTTCAGCCCTTTTCACCACTTCTGGCATGGAAGATCTCACGAAACATTTCCACAACCTGAGGAATCTTCAACTTCAGGACGAGTTTCTGGGACCCCTCTTTCTTGCAAAACTCCAAGGGAAAAATCTGTGGGGGAAGAATCGCCTCTATCGCCTGTTGAGAGTCCATGAGAACACTCTCATCTTTTTCCACCCGTCCGACGGCTGCCCCAAGCTACCACTTCCAGAAGTCTTAATCGACGATGTGATCCAAACTTTCCACGAGCAATATGGACATTTTGGCATTTCCAAGGTTCTCTCACTCATCCGTCGCTATTTCTTTTTCCCGAAAATGCGAGCTCGAATTGAGAGGGTTGTTAAATCTTGTGACCTCTGCCAAAGATCCAAATTTCCGAATAGGGCACTTTACGGGAAAATGCACTCTGTGATTGCCGAGAAACCTGGCGACCTTGTCACCGTCGACTATTACGGACCCCTTCCGCAAAGTCGTTCTAGGGTCGCCTACATTTTCGTGGTCATTGATGCTTTCTCCAAATTTGTCAAGCTCTACCCGCTCCGCCGTGCTCAAGCAAAAATTTCTGCCAAAAAAATCGTCGATGATTTCCATCGAACACTCCCTGTCAGAGTTGTCCTTAGTGATCACGGTACCCAGTTCCAGTCCAAACATTGGCAAGAAACCCTCAAAGAGTGGGGTATACAACCCACTCTCTCCTCCATCCGCCATCCACAGTCTAATCCCACAGAGCGTGTCATGAAAGAACTCAGCCGTCTGTTCCGTGCCTATTGTCATGACTCTCATGCAAACTGGTACTCAATCCTTCCAAATATTGAGCTGCTTTTCAACGTGACACCTCATCTCAGTACTGGCTTCTCGCCATACGAGATCATCTCCGGCAAAAATCCCCCGAACCCCTTGACAAATCTCATCGAGCCTCTTCTTCCAGTCGTCGCAGCAAAACCTCTGCAACAGATCCACAGCGAGGCACTTTCAAACCTCCGTCGTGCCGCAAACCAACGGAAGAATTCCAAGAAAAATCGCTGCGACGTATTCCAAGTAGGCGACTTTGTCCTGTTAAGGGAAAATCCTATCTCAGATGCTGCCAACAAAATTTACGCCAAATTTTCCCTCCTATATTCTGGCCCGTACCTTGTCACGGACAAACCCCATCCAAACGTCTACACCCTCAAGGATCCCGTCTCGAACTCCATCAGAGGCAACCATAACATCACCAATTTAAAACTGTATTCATTTCACCATTGATACTGCGTTTGTTCTTTTCATAGGTACACTTGGAATCGGGGGGACGTGTCCAGAAGAAAGAAGATAAAAATTCGATTGGCCTTCCTTTAGGTTAGCGTTTCCAGTCGCTACGCATAGCTCCGCTCCGAAAACGCTGGGGGACGACTGTAAGGATCCAATTCGAATTTTTAAATTTCAAATGAATTTCGCGCGCGCAAGAAACAGTTGGTGAGAAGAAGAAAAGAAGGTTGGCAACCACCCCAAGGAAACAGGCGTGCGCAAAGCGGGTGGTTTTGTCTCGTGTAAAATCGGGCACTTCGCTTTGACCGCTTGGAGAGAACGGTCGACTTTCTTTCGAGCGCTTCGAGCAACAGGTTGTATTTTTGATTGTGAATTATTCTGTGCCTTTTGCTGTTGTTTTTGCGTTTCCAGTGTTGGTCCGTTCCATTGGAAAATCTAGCAGCCCCCGTTGAGCCATTGGGTGTTCCTGATTTCTCACCGTTCTTACGACGAGGTTTTTGTGTTCCTGTTGGCGGTAAGCTGTGTCGAAATCTTCGCATCTTTGGAGAGGTATGTTTTGAACACCCGTTTCGCGGCGAGTTTCAAGCCCCGACGATGCTTCTGACCTCGTGACACTTCGACGCGTGCGCTTTTTTCCACTAATCTCGTTTTTTTTTACCTTTCATTTAAAATCCGTTGCAGTAGGGCTTTACAGGAAGTGATTTCTAGTTCGGGCCATGCTTTATTTAGCTATATTTGTGAAATCTGTATTTTGGATGGCGGCAAACGAGTTGTTATTTTCACCGTCCTTTGTTCAGGCAGCGGCCATTTTGAAGCGTCCATTTGTTTCTTTTAATCGAGCACATGTTTTGACTGAATCTATTGAACAAAATAACAACATTGTGGGTCATGGGGGGACGTGCCTTTATTCTTTGGATTTAGCACATTGTTTATACAACGCCACAGGATTCATCGTATTTTTGCATCGCATATTTTCGACGCCTATTAATTGGAATGACGAATTCGTCCAACGCCATTTTGCAACTGCAGATTGTCTGCCATGTTTGTTTATGTGGTTTTGTTTGGGGAAATGTATGTGTAATAATGGCCCACAATGCAGCTAAATAATTTCACGTTTGAATTTTAACTAATAACTTGACTGGACACGAATTAATATTAATCACATGTAAATCTGTTAACTTTACAATCTTTCACCTCATGCAATTTGTCTTTGTCTCACAATTTTAGCTTCAGTAATTTTCTTTGTTGTATAATTTGAATTGAACGTAAATTTCCATGCTCTGCAGTTTTGACCTAACATGATATTTTATTTGCACAAGTTTATTTCACACCAGATCTTTGTTTTATAAATCTTTGCTAAGTTTTGATCATATAAATGTTTTGTTGATGAATGTTTCTCTCATATAAATTATCTGATGTCCAAATTTAATCTCAATTAAGAATTATTTGTTGTTGAATTTTCGTAAGAGTGTCTGGCGAATTTAAATGTTGCGTATTGCTCTTTGTTGAAACTTTAACACTTGTTCGGTTGTCATTTAATATTAGAGTCATAGAGATTGAATATTTAAATAGAATTGAAGGTAAATAACACATAACTCGTAGTGTACGTGGGGCGCGCGACTCCTTCTCAAACTGACGGGATTAATCGCGTCACCTGCACAAGTCCGCGGGTTTTGTATAGCTTCAGGGGGCGATCGCGGGTTTTTAACGCTGCCGGTTTCGTGATAGCCGGGACCCCACTACGGATCTGCGATCGTAACCGCCTCGTTTCGCAGGGCACGTTCGTAATGGAGAGATGCGTGTGAGCAGGCGTTGGTGTAGATAGAATCACCGTCGTGGGGGAGAACAGTGACGATCAGGAGTCCCAACCTCTACTTGCGCTACAACGCCCCCCTCTGGGTATTTTGCTGTGCTCGTAAATGAAATTGATATATTTTGTTCTATGTTTTGTTCGATCGCCACACTCTCATAATGATTCGGGTTCTGCCATCCAATTTACATATGTGTAGGTCTTGTGTTTGTTCGGTTTTCATATGTGTAGGTCTGTCAATTCGCGAGTGTTTTTCTTTCACATATCTTAAGGGTTTTGAAATGTAATAAAATGTCGTCCGGGAATAAAACCAAGGGGGTTTTTGCGCTGAGGGGTAAATCTTCGCAGCGTATTTCCCCCTGTGAGGGTGGTGCCGTTTCCCCCCCTCCAAAACAATTTCTGTTAATTATTTCTTGCGCTCTCGACAGTGTATGCACTTGTATGAAAGAACTTCTTCCCGCCATTTTTCAAAACAAAAAAAAAAAAACACAACGTAGGTTCTCATTTGTTAGACGATCACAGCCAAGGCCAAACTTTGAATTTTTGAATTTTTCGCGGGCCTTTCAAACTGTTTCAAGGTCAAACTTTAAGGCGGGAAGTTTGGGTTATCACAAGATGATTTATTGCCAACCGGTAAGCTTAGTGCGAACCACACAAAGGGGGTATTTATTTGCGGTCAACTACTTTTATGATGGCCATATAACCTTATAGCTCTTGGTTCACTATACAATCACCTGTTTTTAATTTAATTGTTTTTTATACATATAATAGTTATTACAAATTCATTGAAAAATGGACAATTCGGGTTGAAATGAGCCTTTTTATGTTGTTAACTTAAGTTACAATATAAAATCATTTTACCTGCGTGTTCGGTTTCGATATTTTCATTAGTTTCTGATAACAAACTAGGCCGTACGTGTCTTAATGCAGCATGTTAATTATAGGTTGCCAATACCGTAAAAATTTCCCGATAAGTAGCAACACTAAATCGTTAATTAGAAGCGTACTTAAATCAAAGTCAGAAATATATTTTATCAACTTTTTTAATAACACAAGTGCTGAAATATACAATACCACACTACACTCCGTCCCATTAAAGCCCATGGAGTGAAATGCGAGTGTGGTAAAAAATCAACAATCACTGTGCTAAGGCACTCTCACATAAAAAATGTATCTACATAGAAAAATTGACTTAGTGATAACATTTCATCATGAAAAATTAAAATCATACATTTTCTATTCAGTGCACAAATCTGGTAACTACTTATACATAAATACAACAATATACAAACAATCAAAAAATAAAATAAAATTTGAAAAGAACACAGTCGCACAAAACTGTCCCTTTTGCTCTAAACTTAATGCCCTCAAACAATTATTTACAAGTAAAACAAAAATAAATTATACACTCGCAGACATGATGATAATTAAAATGGAATGTTCATATAGATTTTTTTCAACAGTAACCTTCTAAAAATATATACATCTCTGTCAAAATTCAAAAGGCAACATCTTTTTTTTTATAATACTGTGAATGAGCTGTAACATCAATTGTGTCCATTAACATCCATTTAAACTTTATCATACCGGTGCACCGTTAATAAACAGCTGCCTCCGAAAAACATCCTTAAACTCCACAAACATAAACAATTTTCTAATTTTTTTGAATTGCACTCGTGCATAAGCAATATATATCGACTCTTAATATCATAGGAACAAATTATCATCATCATTGGTGTTAACACAATCTTCCAAACAAACAAAAGTCCGCCATAACCGCAAAACAAACAACAAACTTTGGTCCCTTTTATCACTAGTAGAGTTTTCGTTTTTTAGCCAACAACTCCACGGCTTGCGACCTCTCCAGTTTCACGAAAGGCTGAGGCAAACCGGATTTACGCTTAAAAATTAACTTAGGAACACCCTGTGAGTCCCGCTGATACACCGAATAATCCCCCACCCCTTTCTCGCTCCGACTCGAGTCGGAATCCTCCGAACTGTCCTCCGTGTACAAATTCCTAAACCGCTTCTTTTTCCGCTTCTCCGGTACTTTCTTGAAATGAAGTTTGAGATCTTTGTAGTCCCTCTCACCTTTCACTTCGTACGTCAACTTCTTCTCCTCTAACATCTTCCGCTTAATTTCTATGAATTTCTTTACTTCTTCTAATTCTTCGCAATTTAAACTACCTTTATTTAGAAACCGGTCTAACAAAACCGTTAGTCTATCGAAGGGCTTGGGTTTACTTAGTTTAGGAATTTTTATATTTAGGGAGTTGAGTTTTGAATCAACTACGTCTTTGTACACTTGGAGGCTGTCGTCTTCGGAATGGTACGAGAACTGGGAGGAAGAAACCGGAGATGGGGTGGAAACACTTTCTATGGGTTTAATATTAAATTCGTTCACGTCTATAATGCACTTCCGATTCGTCGTCGACATAACCTCATCTTTGATGGGGGATTGGGGCGACGGAGTATCGTTCTCCCAGTTGCTTGGAGCCATTTTGAGGGGAGATTTCTTCAACTCGGCATCTTTAATCACGTTTTCGATTGAAAGTTCCACTTCTTCGACTATTTCATCGTTCACGTCACCAGTCGAAGTCACCGTATCTTCCATTATTTTATTCTGCATTTCTTCTTCTTCTTCTAAAAAAAAAAAACAGAGAGAGTTAGTACTTTTAAATTTAATAACAATAAAACATATTATTACCCGGCTCGAAGTGAGTCGGAGCTTTCCGCTTCCTGCTATTATACTCCTCCAAACTTAATTTCTTTCTATCAATTTCTTCTTTACTTATTTCTCGAACAACCGTTTCAAGATTAAACGTTACCTTCTTTGGGGTTTTAGGGTTCCTTCTTTCCGTTGTGTCCTTCATGGAAGTCTTCTTCATTCTGCCGTTATCTTTATCAACTTTCTCTTTGAGCGACTTTATTTTGTTAACGGTTTCTTCTAATTTTGATATGGTTTTCTTCGGCTTCGCTGTTTCTTCAGCTTTCAGTTTAATTTCTTTGGCTACGTTTGATATAAGAGGAGAATTATTGACATATAGCTTCTTCGCTGCTTTCGTAGGAAGCTTTTCTGCTTCTTTAGTTTCTTCTAATTGTCTTCGTGCTATCATTTCTTCAGCCAGTCGTACCACGTCAGCGCTGTTTGGAGGTGTTCCTTCCTTCACCACCTCTTGCGATTCTTTATGGTACTCTATCGTCTCTTCTGGTTTTTCATCTTTTTTATTATCTTCTACTAGTTTGATTTCTTCTATGGGAGTTGGAGGGTTGGTTATTTCTTCACCGGTAGGTTCAGTCTGGTGGGGATCGGTTGGTTTTTGGTTGTTTTCATCCACAATTGGATGTGATATTGATTTCTTCTCTTTTAACGATTTCCCTTCTGATTTCGTTTCTGTGCGCTCTGAAATTTCTTTTTCCGTTGTATTTACAGTAACTGTCTCCTCATTGATAACAGGTTTTACTACTTCTTGTACAACTTTGTCGTCTGATTCGTCTTTCACATTTTCTAGTGGTGGCAGTTTTCTCTCGTTTTTAATTAACCTGGTATCTTCATATATTTCTTTTTCTTTAGTGGGTCTATCGTCTACTGTATTTACGGATGTTGACAACTTCCTTTCTTTCTTTCCAGATTTTGGACTTTCTTCTTGAATAGTTTTCAGCTTTGAGGTTTCGTCCTCTTGCTTAGTTCTTATGGTTAGTGACAACTTCCTCTCTTGTTTCCTCACTTTAGTACTACTTTCAGAAATCTCTTTCTTCTCCTCTTCATTATTTACAGATGTTTGAGATGTTAACCTTCGTTCCAACTTCTTTATTTTGGAAACTTCCTCTTGTTTATCTTTATCTTTCCGTTTCACATCATTTTCGTCCACACTATTTTGCGGCGTTAACCTCTTGTCTTGTTTCTTCGTCCTCAAAACTTCTTCGTGCTTATCTTTCTTTTTCACGTCTTCTTCGTTTACACTCGTTTGTGAGGTCACTTTCTTTTCTACTTTCTTGGACGACGAGATATCTTTTTTCTTTGGCTCTTCACTAGTATCTCTCTTAGTTTCAGTTTTGGTCTTCTTTACCACCTTATCATTTTCTTCTGATTTCTGCATCTTTTTCGTTTTAGAACGGTCTTCACTCTCTTTTCTTTCTTCGGTTCTTATTTTCTTGCTGCTAGAGCGTCTTCTCTCTTCGCCGTCCTTTGATCTTCTTTTTTCATCTCGTCTTCTGTTGGTCTCTACTATTTTCTTTGTGTCTTCTTCTTCTACCACCGTGGAACTCTTCGTATCTTCTTTTACTACCGTGGGATTGTGTACAGTTGTTTCCGTTGAAGCGTTTTGTGTGGTTGCATCATGAGTTAAATCTAGAAATACTTCATTCTCTAGGATTTCTTCACCGATGACGATTTCGCTTTGGTACACACTAGAGCTAATTTCTTCTAGATGTACGTCAGTCTCCAGGTTTTCTGCTACTTTTTTAGGAAGAATTTCTTCACTTTCAGCAGATTGTTGTACATTACTTTGAGATGGGTCAGTCTTTGGTGAACTCTCCTCAGACGGTGCAACTTCTTTTTGTTGCGTTGTATGCTCGTCGTCTAACTTTTCGCTCAATTCAATTAACTGATTTTCCTCGTCTAAATTTTTGGCCAAATCAGTTGCCTCATTTTCGTCGAGTGGATCAATGTTTTGCACTGTTTCACTAGTCGTTTCAGGATTTTGGCTACTTTCTTCAGTCGTCGTCAAACCCGTTTCTTCACTAGCTGGATCGTTTCGGTTAACGTCGATCACTAATGATTCCGACAACGGTAGTACCCGCAACACTTTAGTACCATTAAGATGGTCGATGTTTAGTTGCACCCAAGCACCTCCTATTTCTAAAATTACACTATCATCGTCTACGGATATCGCGTTTCTGTATTCCATTTCGTCGTTTACAACTTCCTCGTCGTTCACTTTGTCGTTGGTTACACTTTCTTCGGTCACTTCTTCTTCCGTTCCTTTAGGCACAAATTGTAGGCTATTTCTCCGTGTTTCCGTAGGAGAACTTCCAATGTTGTTGATGATATCGTCAACTGAAAAAATGCGTTGGGTCCGTTTGGTCGTACTAGTTAAGACACTTTCTTCAGGCACTTCTTTATCTTCTTCGGTTTCCTCTTGGTTGGTTGTTTCGTCTTTGTTGTCAGTGGTATCGTCGAACGCCACGTCAGGTACTGTTTCAGCTTTGCTTTGAGTTTCTTGTTGTTTTTCTTGTTGTTTTTCTTCTTCTTTTTCCGCGTTGGAGTGTTCTTCTTCACTTTTGCCGCGTTCTGCGTCAATTTTGGCCTGTTCTTCGTCTATTAGAGGCATATCTTTGATTACTGACACTTCGTTTGAAACGATAACACTTGTCTCTGCACTACTTTCGTCGTTCTTCTCTTGTATTTCCTCGGAGGGGTGGGTGGTTTCTTTTTGTATTTCTTGCTGTTCTTCGACAGGTTGGCTAGATTTGGTTATTTCATCACAGACTTTTTCGTTTTGATTTTCGTGGTAAGGCACTGTTGGAGTTGCTTCAATGGTCGTCTTCTCCGCTTCTTCGGCTAGCATGCAGTCGGGTTTCTGCCCAGCCTCTACAATCTGAACGTTCACCGTCCTCTCGCCATTCGTTTCAGTGGTTTCTTTGATTTTGACTACCGAATTATCTAAAGCCCCCGTTTTGATAATGTATTGGCCGTTTTCCGTGGGCACCAGCGAAACGTTTTCTAGACACTGAGGAATATCGGAAGAATTTATAACGAAAACTTGCTCGTTGCTACTCGATTCGTTATTGTGTATCCTGATATTCTCTTTAAAAATGGGGGTGATGTCCGCCCCCTCCTCCTCCGCCCAGTTTTCTATGTAGTGCCTCAGCCCCCCGCTTGCCGTCCTGTTGTCGGCAGGCTCCGGGGAGATTTGGTGTCCCGCCATATACGGGTTGGTCCGGCACGTTTGCTGGTAGTAATCCTGGGGTATCGACGTCCTCCTGTGCTGGTAGTGCTGGGCGTACTCCGGCGGCGTGTACTGGGAGTAGTTTGGAGAAATCTTCTGCGGGGAAGTACCATAGTTCATCATGTGGACGTTCCGAGGAGATATACTCCTTTCGGTGTGCGGATTGAGGGAGGGGTATTGGGTGCCAGTTACTCCCATTTGGTTGGACCGAGGATACTCCGGATGCTTGTAGTTGCAGGAGGACGGGTAGTTGTACGGCTGGTAGTTGTAGGAAAGGTTATTTTGGAGGTGCGTAGGGTAGTACCGTTGGTTTTGGGAGTACATTCGGTTTTGGTCCATGGAGGGGTAAGTGGTTTGGGATTCGCGGATGTGGTGGTCGCTCATGATGGAGCGGGCCATGGAGGGGTTGATGCGTTGCAGTTTCGCCAAGAAGTCGTTCTCGGGAGGCGGTGGGGGGTACTTGCGGCACTGGGAGGGCATGTTGTACTTGGGGATTTGAGGGTACTGCTGGTATTGAGATTCGGGCTTGTAGCCGGGGTGGACCTGCAACAAAGACAAATAAATAAATAAATGTCGACTTTATTACCAAACAAAATATTTGTTGTTGGGTTATAACAGTGTCAAATTGAAGTCTTTGGTCAAGTTTTAACAATAATCATCACGGTTGCAGAATAGATAGGTTAGTTCACTAGTGGTTTGGGATGGCTATGTATCTATTGCCTCTAATTAATCATACCGATTCCGTCACCACAGTTTCCCCAACAAGCGTAGCTAATTCTTGCTGTTTTCCCAATCGGAAATATGCGTATTTTCAACTGACGCTAACACGTGGTGTAATGTTGATTTATTGTTTCTAAATACACAGTTCATATTAGGATGTTAATCGTTAACTAACACAATTTAACAGTCATGAGATTGTTCAGACAAAGTATTTGCTAGGACATTTTATGAGATTCACTTGGTCAGACCTCATCCTTTGTTTATCAAGTTATAAATAAGGTTTCTGGATGCTTATACTTAAGCGTTACATCATAACACTCCTTAATTCCTCACACAAGATTGCTAATAGTTCATTTACGGCAGTTAAACTAACCTAAAGTTGTCCCACTCTGAGAAAAGGACCGTGGAAAGTGTGGTAGGATTCATAATATCGTGCACTGAGGGAGTGTATGGCGAATTTAAATGTCGTTTATTGCTCTTTTGAAACTTTAAGACTTGTTCGGTTGTAGTTTAACATCAGAGTTATAGAAATTGAACATTTAAATGGAATTGAGAAACACGTGGCGGAAGCGGAGTGTGCGGTTCCTTGTCGAGCTGGCGGCGCGCCATTTGTACAAAAGACGCAGATCTTGAATAGAAGTCAGGGGAGCAGAACGTTTAAGGTGTTTACCTGCATAACTTAGTCGCAGCTTTTTTTTTCCTTTTTTTTGTCAGAGGAGGAATAAATGATTTTGTGTCCTCCATATATTTTGTGCTTTATGTAGCGGTACTTTTCCAATCTTGAGGTACATCACTTTGCATCTGAACGTATTCCGGCAAAAAAAAACAAACACAATGTAATTTTTGAATTTTTCGCGGTCTTTTCAAATTTTTGTTCACATGTCAGGCGGGATGTTTGGATTATCACAATATTATTGCTTTGAATCGTAGCGACAGAACTCGACCTTCATTATCATGTTTTGAATTTAATTTGACATTGACAGGCCATGTGTGTATGGAGCCCTCGTGCAAATACGTTTATAGAGCCCAGTCTGCCTAGATTCGAAATTTAAAGAATCGCACATGACAGATGAATAATTATGTGCCAAGTTATTAGTTCTAATTACAGATATAAATTCAATAGACTTTATTCCTTCTAGTTTTATTATAAGATTCTAAGTACTGGTTATGATACTAATTTATTAATTAACAATCTTTCGTTCTCTTTCTATTTCTTCACGATGTATTTGTAAATTATAAAACAAACATTATAATTTATTCCAGTTCCAGGAATTCAGTTAAAAAAAGTTTAATTTATTGGGAAAAAATCACTTGTTCGTATTTTTTATATCTATTTATACAAATTATTTTAATTTTTAATTTTCTATATTTAAACTTTGACAGTTGCGTTTGCTGATGGATCTTACATATGTGAAACATGTCACGATATAAATAAATATATTTGTTCCCAATACACACCCCAATTGTTTTCAATCAATAAATCATTATGCTATGTTTGTTTATTTTTCCAAAGTACAAGTGCTTTACAGAACTTATGAATTGTGATATACTGTGATTGTGACAAACGGTAACAAGTCAAAGTCCCCATATTAGTAAGATATTAGTTACCAACTTAACTGTATCAGGACACTATTGTTAGTGAATAGACAGTCCGAAAATATCCGGCTATCTAACAACACTATACTAGGACTGGACACATGACACACGCCGATTTTATTCACCGATCAACGTAACAAGAGAAGTTAAAAAACTTTTTTTTGTTTTTTGGTGCTTTTTTGTTGTTATAAACATATAGCAGTTTTAATTAAACAAGCAATTAAAATATAGTTTTTTTCCGTATACTAGGAAGTATTTGTTATTTAATAGAGTCAAGGTTTCCTTCAAAATGTCAAAAATTTTAAAATTTGAACTAGGTACTTGGCCGACAACGAAATTTTAAATACAGGTTAGAGCAAATAATTTTGTCTTATGCTAATTTGTTTTAAAACAAATCTTTTTGTATTCACTAACATCTCTAATAATAATAATAATATGCATCCGTATTCACAGTACCTTTACTCCGTAGTAATTTAGATTATTTAAAAAAAGAATGATCAATTAAAGTAGCTGATTTATTTGTTATTCTCGTAGGTTCGTCAATAATTTGTGACGTGGACACACCGTAGTTAGTCATACACTCTGCTAATGAATAAGAAATCTGAACATATTAACATTGAAATCTCCCGTAACTCAAGAATATACTCAGATAAAAAATCCTCAAATAGTCCTCAATGGATTACCTCTTGACCCATAAACAACCCTTACAAGCATTCTAACATTATTAGCTTTGCATTTAAACCACATAAAGTGGAAGACCAAATTTTGCGTCATTTGTGTCAAAATTTTCAGGCGATATGTCTAACACTAGTCCTGCGTGATTAGAAATTACTGAGTCTGTTGGCAGTTCTGGATTTTTAGTTGAAATTGAGAATTTAGATCAGGGCAGGTATGGGTGGGGCTTAATTTTTGGCTTTATTTTTTTTTTAATATACATAGTATTCTTTGAACAACACAATACTCAAAAACATGTTTTTAATTTCTCCTAGAGACATAAGCATTTTGCAGTTAAGCTCCGCCTTCTTGGCTCACGACGAATAAAAAAATCATCACAATTGAGATAGGGTGGGTGGGCGGGGCTACATTTTGCCTTTTTTTCTTAATATGTGTAGACTTATTTCGACAACAAGAAACTTAAAACATGTCTAAAATGATAAATGTTTGTAATAATCAACTTAAATCCTCCACTTTTCTCCTACGACCCTTTTAAATACGGCAAAAGTTGAACATCAAAGTTACTATCAAGCCTCACTGGAGAAAGCAAAAATACTTAAAAAAAAAAACAAAAAAAAACGTGTTTTAAAACCAATAAAACAAACTTTTTTCACACTTACATCGATTATCATTGTTGAGAATCCACTTTGTCACTTTTGTCTGGACTTTATGTTTCGCATAATCACTCAACGTGGCGCTAAAATCGACCATACTGCAAATAACAATCATCTTTGATTGTTTGAAATTACAAATCGGCTGTGCTACTTGTTCAAACATGAAAAAACAGAGTGTCTATTAAATGTGTACAATATGATCGAAAAAAACGTCGTCCAGTCAGCCATGGAATTAATTAAAAAAACTGTGTTGGCAAAAGCTACGTTGTCAGTCCCGTGCGTTTTTGAAGTTACGGAAAATTCTTCTATGCATCGCATTAAAGAGTGATAACTTGGACAATAAAATTTTATGTTGCATGTCCAGCATTTTTTTTTTATTACACTGATAATACAAATGTCAAAGTAGCAGGTAACTTCAATGGAAAACAACACTAGTAGCAGATATTTTTTTTTACGATCGCTATGGGTTCATGACTTGGAATTATTCCAATCGGTACATTTTTGACAACCATGTGACCAAGTCGAAGAACTGCCCTTTTACTTTAGTAATATTTGTGGTTAACTGGGTATAAAGACTTTTATCGGGTACAAAATTTTACGTTAACTATGTGACATCCTCAATCCTACAATTCCCAACATTTACTGCTTTGTTATCTTAGAATTTTATCGGATAAAAACGACAATTCTAATAACATAATAAATTCTTTATTCTAAAAATAAATACATTGGATGAAGTTTAACTACCGTGTATAATGTTTAATCCAAGCTTGATAAAAAAATAAGTTATTACAATACATTATTTAACAGACTTCACTAGTATTTAAGATGCATGATGTAAATGTAAATTTATTCACAACGAAATGTCATTATCACAGTTACTACACCACTATTCACTGGATTAAAATGGCAGTAGTTCCACGGAATCTTTAAAACTTCCTGGATACATGTTTTTGCAAATTCATCTACAACGTATAAAGTAGACTTATTCTTCTTGGAATGTTGCTTTGCTTAATTTAGCCACTCAGGTTTACCAAACTGATTTTCAAATGTATTACTGTGGGGTTCCAATCACTGAATAATTTTACATTTAGTCCACGCTCCTGTTGGAACTGTATTTACCTTCTTTTTCTTTCAAAACCCCAGCTAGTTAATGCAACAAATAAAATTGTTATAAACTTACCGGTATCTATCATGTCACTTCAGATTTTTCTTCACCCACCAAAATTCACTAAACTCGTCCTTCATCTTTCACCATTTTGGAAAACGGTTTGATATTTGGTATAAATAAAACACGTTTCAGACAAACTAACGAATAGGTTAGTTAAATATATAATGACAAACGCATTAAAACAATATTTAAAATAGCCGGCTCTCTTAGTGATGTTAAACATGTTGAGAACCGCACGACTGACTCGTCGCGAGTCTTTACACCAGTTTAGCATAAGAGTCAATTTTGTTGCAGTATGCGTTCGTTACTCGTTTTACTTTATAGTTCGGTCGACAAAGCGGCACCTCAAAACTCCCGTCGCCACAAATGAATTAGTGGTTACCTGAGGTTCCTTATGCAGGTACTGATGGTGTACGGAGGCGGCATCTGGTGGATAGCTCTGCTGCCTCGTGAGGTTATCGGGGTAATTCTGCTTCATGTGCGTCTGCTGGCTGATGTTGCACATATCCATAAAATCCTTATGGACCTCTTTGTGTTTTTGGAGGGCGGCTGGGATATGATCTACATGTTGGATGGACTGAGGAGGAGTTTCAGCAATTTCTGAATACTTCACTTGAGCTGGGGTTTCCTTATATGGCAAACTGCAACAACGTCTGGTTAACCACGAAGACAAACCAGTTGGCAATTTTTACCTATAGTCAGGATACTGGTGCTGATACCTATAATAGTCATTTGGTCTAGCTGGGTAGTGATTGTGCGGAGGGACCCTAGCGATGTGGCTACTTTCAACGGAAGTGTTCAAGTCCGTACTGGAATTTTTGTCGGTGCCATCTTTCTTCCGAAACTGGCGAAGCGAGCTTGTCGTGTTCCCACCGTTAGTTTGCTGTGACAAAATAACAACTGTAGTAATAACCCCGCTAGCAATTACTGGTTGCCTATAACTACAACCCCGCCACTTGATAAACACACTCGTCTTAATTATTACGGTCCAACTTGACCAACATTCTAAAAATAGCGCTACTACTATTCCAATTTCATTATCAAGTAGTATCTTCATTTTTTCAAAAAAAGTAAGAGTGACGGTTGTGGTTTAGGCAACCCGGAAGGCCGCGTAAAGCTCTCCTCACGCTGGACTTACCGATATGTCAGCGTGAGCGAATGGTGGTGATTGGTGGGAGTTGGCAGCTCCTTGGCCATACTGAAGTCCGGCATGCTGCATCAGGCACTGGAATTTCAAACATACTAAGTGCAAAATATTGAAATGTGAATGACCAGTCGTGTCAACAAAATGTTGCCAACTGGACAAATATTTGTGGAATTCTTTACATGGCTGATTAGTGCTGGTCGGTGTTAATCAAGAAATGAGTCGCCGGTCAATGTTGAACGAGTCAGACGGTTACCTAAGCGTGTTTAATTGTAAGTGTATCGATTAATGTTAATAATTTATATTTTTATTTGTCTATTAGTGTCAATAATACATATATGTTGTTGGTATATGGAATTAATGGGAAGCATTAAGGGAAATTAATCGAGCGCTTTTCCGACGATCGAACGGAAGAGTGGTCACGTGGTGGTGACGTCAGATGATGTTTATTTTGAATTGCGGTGGTAAATACCTATAAGACTGGAAAATTCAGATGGTTTATTGCTATTTAAATGTTGGCTTAATGTGAAGACAGGTTTCACTTTTTCTTAACACTATATCGACTGTGTGAACTTCTTGGAGTGGAAAATGCATTAACACTGTCAACCGGTGCAACTATCACTTGTTTGTTTTTGTGAGACGTATCAACCAATTAGCAATTAATTAAACAACTACAATTACACAGCAACATACCGTGAAACGGTGACTGATTAAAGACCGTTCCTACAACTACTACTAGCGTCCTTTATGCCGTTAAGATCGAGAACACGTATAAAATTACTGAAACATTGGAGTGTAGTTTCAAATTGCGCTCGAACAAACACCATATTTGACATTCTTTAGATCAAATAGCCGTCAAGTTATATTTGACTGTGTAATTTGTGCCTGTATTAGAATAACATGTAGCCGCTGGATCACTAAATAATGACTCCTTAGAACTATTTTTGACAAAACGCGAAGATTAAATAAATGGAACGTAGAATTGAAACATGTACGACACGTCAGACGAGTAAATAAATCCATCAAATGACTCTCGCGTCTATAATTACCACCGAAGAAAATATTTAATTGATAACAAATAATGAAGTTGTAATTATAGACTACTTATCTATAGATATACTAAATACATGACATACACCTAGAGAATTCGATTTGCAATACTCAAGGGCCAAAGTTCAGACAGAAGTTGTTTTATTGTAGACTTTCGGCTGTGTTTCTCATTTCAACAAGGGCTCGTATGCAGGGTCGCTAGAGTGTATGAAAACGGTTAAATATTTTGAGAACCAACTGTACAAATCAACAGAAATTAGGTATAGATACTAGAAGTTGTGCTCTAACTATTCGTCAAAAAATTTTTTTTGCAAAAATGGTGCATGGTGAAAACGAACTTTTACTCAAGTACCTAGTGACACTTTAACAAAAATTGATCGAAAGTTATTTCGACAGAACTTCCCTCGCCCCTGAACTGCAACCCCACAAATTGCGTTTCTTTATTTTTTTTTTGTTTCAATTTTTTATTTTATTTTTTGTTTGTTTTTTAAAATTCTCAGTTTTTCAATGTTTTGATTTACAACTTTTCGGTTTTTTGACTTTTAGATACTTTAATTTTTTTTTAATTCTATATTTCTGTGTCTCGATTTTTCATTTCTTTAATTTTTAATTTGCAATTTTTCAAGTTTTGGCTTTAAATATGTAATAATAATCCTAATTTTAAAAAATTTTCACTTTTTCAATTTTGCGATTTTTCAATTATTGGATTTTAAGTTTTTCTTTTGTTCTAGTTAATTTTGAATTTCTCGACATTTAATTTTTCAATTTTTCGATGTGTCGACGTTATGTTTTTTGACTTTACAACTTCGACGACTCCATAATTTTCCGATTTTACAATTATTGGGTTTTCCAATTATTCGATTCGATTAATTTTTTCTTTCCAATTTTTTGATTCATTAATTTTTTTCGGTTTTTAACTTTCTCAATTGTTAGTTTTTCATGTTTCAATTTTTCGTTTGTCGAGTTCTACCATTTGCAATCTTTCGATTTTGCTATTTTTCTTTTCTTCAGTTTTTCGATTTGCAATTTTCAGATTTTTCAAATATTTTCCAAAAAAATATTTAAAATTGTTCCAATCGACTGAAAATTGGGTGTAAAATTGTGGATAATTTTCCGCCAGTTACAAATCCAAAATCACCTTCACGACATCTATTGAAATAATGGTAAAATCTGGTTTCAAAATTTTCCAAAAAAATGGTTCAAATTGGTTCAATCGTCTGAAAATTGGTGTCAAATTGTAGATGACGTTCCGCCAGTTACAAATCCAAAATTATCTTCACCATATCTATTCCAATAAAAGTAAAATTTTCAAAAATTTTCCAAAAAAAATGGTTAAAATTTGTTCAATCGACCGAAAATTGTTGTCAAATTGTACATAATCTCCCGCCAATTACAAATTCGAAATCGCCGTCACGATATCTGTTCCAATAAACAAGAAAAGTGAAATCAAAATTTCCAAAAATTTTTCAAATAAATGGCTAAAATGGGTTCAATTGACTAAAAATTAGTGTCAAACTGTATATAATCTTGCGCCAGTTACTAATCTGAAATAGCTGTCACGACATCTGTTCCAATAAACACGAAAACTGAATTCAAAATTTTCACAAATTTTCCAAAAAATGGTTAAAATTGGTGCACTCGACTTAAAATTGGTGTCAAATTGTATATAATTCTTCGCTAATTACAAATCTGAAATCGCCGTCCCGATATCTCTTCAATAAACACGAAAAGTGAATTCAAAATTTTGAAAAATTTTCCAAAAAAACTGGTTAACATTGATTCAATCGACCGAAAATTGGTGTCAAATTGTAGATAATCTTTCGTCAGTTACAAGTCCGAAATCACCTTCACGACATTCATTGCAATAAAGGTAAAATACGATCCCAAAATTTTCAAAAATTTTCCAAAAAAATCATTAAAATCGGTTCAATCTACTGAAAATTGATGTCAAATTGTAGATACCCTTCCGCCAATTACAAATCCGAAATCGTCTTCACGACATCTATTGTAATAAAAGTAAAATATGATTCCAATGTTTTCAAAATTAAAAAAAAAAAAACTGGTTAAAATTGGCTCAATCCGATTACAAATCTGAAATCGCCGTCACGATATCTGGTTCAATAAATACGTGAAGTGAATTCAAAATTTTCAAAAATTTTCCAAAAAAATTGGTCCAAAGAGTTTAGACAGTACTTCCCTCGCTGTCGGAAACGTGACGACTGTACGCCTATTATGTTTTTTTTGCATTAGATTTCAAAGCATTCGGTTTTTTAGTTCTTGATTAAAGCAATAAAATAAATTTGCGCATTCATTAAATTTTTTGAGTCACCCTGTATATCCAAATCCAAAAAATATGAATGGAATGATAAATAACAAGAAGAGACTCATCATATTTTGTTCATTTTAGACAGGATTTATTCAGCAAAATTTTGGGGTGGCGTCATCCACTTTTTAGGAGGGATGAGCAAATATATTTTGATCAAAACGTTACCATGCTTATGATAAATTTAAAACATTTCCAAGATTTCAAAGCATTCGGTTTTGTAGTTCCTGATTAAATCAATAAAATATATATGCGCATTCATTAAATTTTTTGAGTCACCCCGTATATCCAAATCCAAAAACTATGAATGGAATGATAAATTACAAGAAGAGACTCATCATATTTTGTACATTTTAGATAGGATTATTCGGCAAATTTTTGAGCTGACGTCATCAATTTTTTGGAGGGGATAAGCAAATATATTTTGACTAAAAATTTATTATGCTCTTTATAACCTTAAAACACTAAAGCATTCGGTTTTGCAGTTCCTGATTAAATCAATAAAATTAATGCACGCATTCATTAAATTTTTTGAGTCATCCTGTATATGCAAATCGAAAAAATATTAATGGAATGATAAATCACAAGAAGAGACTCATAATATTTTGTACATTTTAGATAGGATTTTTTTAGCAAAACTTTGGGGTGGCGTCATCCATTTTTTAGGAGGGATGAGCAAATATATTTTGATCAAAAATTTACCATGCTTATGATAAATTTAAAACATTTCCAAGATTTCAAAGCATTCGGTGTTGTAGTTCCTGATTAAATCAATAAAATAAATATGTGCATTCATTAAATTTTTTGAGTCACCCTGTATATGCAAATCCAAAAACTATGAATGGAATGATAAATTACAAGACGAGACTCATCATATTTTGTACATTTTAGATAGGATTATTTGGCAAACTTTTGGGCTGACGTCATCAATTGTTTGGAGGGGATAAGCAAATATATTTTGACTAAAAATTTATTATGCTCTTTATAACCTTAAAACATTTGCAAAATCTCAAAGCATTCGGTTCTGCAGTTCCTGATTAAATCAATAAAATTAATTCACGCATTCATTATTTTTTTTAGGTCACCCTGTATATACATATTCAAAAAATATGAATGGAATAATAAATTACAAGAAGAGACTCATCATATTTTGTACATTTTAGATAGGATTTATTCAGCTAAATTTTGAGGTGACGTCATCAATTTTTTGCAGGGGATAATTAAATATATTGTGATTAAAATTGTATTATGCTAATCATAACTGTAAACCAACTGCAAGATTTCAAAGCATTCGGTTTTATAGATTCCAAATTAAATGTCAAAATGTTGTTCCGTAATTTTGATTTTTTTTCCAAAAATCTGGACGTTTCGGGTAAAATCTCAATTCGGAGTCGTAAACTACATGTGTAAGACTATATTATTTGATACAATTTAAAATCCAATTACTATGTACAATTTTGAAGTGACGTTTTACCATCTACATGATATACCTAATATAAATATAAATTTGACAACAATCGGCCCAGTACTTTCGGAGATTATCTGTCTAATAAAAATCCGGGACGGCAGACAGACGGACCGACAAACGGAAACGGGAGACCTATTTCTTGGTCTTGTAGAGGTCATGAAAGATCGAGAAAATGTAAAAGTAGAGAGTCGGCCGACGGACTATATTACAATACTTCCTTCGGGAAGTAGAAATGGTTAA